GTACCTTTCCTTTTTATATTTCTTGGTTTATAACTTTTGCAACCTTTGTAGTTGGCGGGATGGTTGCCTTCACACAGAGCGACAAGTTGGTTGACTTTGCTTTTCTTTTAAACACTTATCATGGTTCGTGTTCTTTTCCACATTTAAACACACCTGTACGGGTATGCACAGTACGGACCTGGTATGTTTCATATCTCTGACAGTTTTTGCATTGTACTTATCTCGCGTTTCAGGCGTTGGTGCGTTCCCGAAGCAACACACAATTTAACAGTCGGTTATTTTGAACACTTCTTTTGTTGTTAGGTTTGGGCTCAAGCGGGTCTACAAAAATAGAGGCAGAGGTGTTTAGTTAAGCCTGTGGCGGACATTATAATGTTCTACTTTGTGATCCTTTTCCAGAAAGCGAACGGCCTGATATCTTTTACTCTAACCGTATTGATGTATGTGTCGCAAGACAACTCTATACGCACGTTCTTGTTTCAACTTGGTATGTATAGTTATACTTGACTGTTGGCTGATAAATGTTTTTATTATTTCCCTGTTAGCGGTATTGGAGTTTTCGGCGTTTATTTTTAATTTTTGTCGTTTGCTAGAGATTTTATTTCGAAATCTTCTGTTTTTAAAGGCTTCCTTTAAAAATTTGATCATAGCTGAAATTATTCCACATTTGGCACGAAAATTGGAGGTTACAGTGGTATTTTGGAAAAGGTCTTCCTTCATTGTTTCTGTTGCTTCCATTCTTATCAAGAGCACTGAATTGATTTCTTTGGGGAACTGTATATACAACTAAGTTATTACTATCGCAAGACGCTGGCTTTTGCCTTACCCTTTCTATTGCATCAGGGTCGAGGACGTCAGCGTTGCGGCCTTTTTGACCGAGCTGTGTGTATATTTGCCATACATTCTGCGTTCAGCGTTGACGGAGCAGATGAATCATGATCCTATGCCGTTGCTGTCGCGCTGTTGATTACTTCGGATGACATTCTTGAGTAAACAGCTTCCCGGGTGTCAGTTAGCATGCAATCGCCACTACATGCTACTGATTCCTACCCGAAAGCTACTTCGGTAACGACGAGTTTTAGTATAGGTTGTCTTTTGTTAGGTGATTTGAATATTGAAAAAGAAACTGAAACACGTTATACTTTACAATATAATTGTTCACTTAGAGGCTAGTGCGCACTGGTTAATTATCGCTAGACTTTTCCTTATCTTTGGCGCCCTCGCGGTGCGAGCAGGTAAGACACTACGGAGCTGCGGGCACGATCCCGCACACCCACAAGCGGGTTCAGGCGAGTACTGAGC